CTGATATTACTTATCTAGGCTAGTGTGACACATCTGCAAAGAACTATTTTCCTCTATGCTAGACTGAAGATAGCATGGATGCTGACTGTGAAGTATCTGTTAGCTATTGGGTCATTAAAACTTTTGTGCCAATCTTTCAGAGTCATGGTCATATAATTTCCCTAAAAGAGAAGAGGCAAAAATGTAGACATTTCTGAAATTTCAATGATGCTCATCTTTCAAGATGGGCTTCCCTAATACACTTCATGTCTTCTAAATTAAATGTGTTTTTAAATTTCTTTGCTCTCAGGAAAAGTATAAAAGACCAAAGGACTTCAGAGTCACATGTGGATACTTTATGCAGAGGTACTCTCAGAAGCTCCTACATATGGACAAATCGAAGCAAAGTTTATTACGATATTTCTTGAGTTAGTATGATTGATAAGCACTGCTATTTAATATGGCTTGTTTAGTAGAAAATTGGCTTAATATTGGTTTGCTTAGTGGGAGCAAATTTTTTCTTTTGCTGATATTATACAAAAGAATATTTATCAAGTAAGCACAAATTTTGAAGTAAAGCAAACTTTGAATAGCAATATTCTAATAATTGAGTGAACATGAGAAAATTACCTCCTATTTCTGTGACAACTCTTCTGGAAAAAAAGAAAACTGGTAAAAATACTTAGTGTACTTGCCTCCTATGAAGAACAGATAGGAAACTGTCATGAACATGTTAGGTAAGTAAATTATTTCTTGCTACACACATTTTCACATTAGAGACCCACGTTTTCACAGAGAATGAATCTCAAATGATTACCCACCAAAATGTAATTTTTAAAATACTTTATCTTAGAGACACACTTCTGTTTTATGCTTTAATGTTTTTCTTTTGAAATAATTGAGTTTTTTCATTGACTGAAGTGATATTACATAGTGGTTCTATGCACTCATTGCCCAGTGTTCCCTAACATTGTCTTCTTATGTACTTAGAGTAACAAAATGAAGAATTTGATACTGTACAATGCATGTTGTATGTTGAACTCACTAGTTTCAGGAGGTTTTTTTGTGCTTTTTTTTTTTTTTTTTTTGCTTGAGAATCTGTTTTCATGATTCTTTGGATTTTTGATGTAGAATATAACATCACATCACTTACATTCCTGACATTTAAATGCATTTTCTTCCTTTTCCTTTTCTTGCTGCATAGACTAGAATTCCCTGTGCTCTTCTGAGTAGCTATGGCAAGAAAATAAATTTTTGCCTTATTCTTGATCTTAGAATAAAAACATTCAGCCTTCCACTTTTTATATAGACTTCTGTAGCAAGATGAATCAGTCTCCACTATCCCAGTTCTCAATATTATTAATACTGATTACTTGAATTTTGTCTGATGATTTTCTGCATCAGTTGATAGTATCATATTATCTTATTCACCTTGTGGAGGTAACACCAATTCTTTTAAAAATAGTAAGCCAGCCCTTTATCCATGAAAAAAGCCCCATTTATATGATATATTCAGATTTTTATGTAGTGCTAAATTGTACAATTAAACATTTTATTTATGAAGTTTTATATCCTTATTCATGAGGGATGTCAATTTGCAGTTTTCATTGTTATTTACTGTTGGTATCAGAGTAAATTAATCAGCTTGGACTGCTACAATGAAACACCATAGACAGGTGGCTTAAACAACAGAAATATTTTTTCTCACCGTTCTGGAACTAGAAGTCTGAGGTCAAGGGAACAGCATTGCTGGGTTCTGGGAGTGGGTAGCTGACCTTCCTGCCTTGCAAATAACCACCTTCTTGCTATGTTCTCACACAGCAGAGAGAAAGAAAGAACTAGAACTCTTCAACATATGAATTTTGGGGAACACAATTCAGCACGTAGTGCAGGGTGATATCAGTTTAATAGAAATGAAAAGTGTTTCATTTTTGTCAACTGTGTAAAATTGTAGTTTAATCTTCTCTAAACACTTGGAGAATTCTCCTGTGAAACAATTTCAGTCTGGAGACTTCCCGTTTGGAAGGATTTGAATTAAAATTCAATCTTCTCAATAGTTATAGGAATTTTGAAGTACTCCAGTTAATATTGGATGAGTTGTGCTAATTTGTGCTTTTTGAGGAGTTGGTAGAGTTCACTCAGGTTACCCAGATTATGTGTAAAGTTCTGTCCATATCATGTGCTCCTTATCATTTTGATGTTAGCAGTGTCATAGTGATATTGTCTCTTAATAATACTAATTTCTTGTGTTTCCTCTCACTTTTTCAGTCATTAAAAAAATTATCATTAGTTTTTTTGTTTTACTGATTTTTCTCTATCTTTACTTTCATCAATTTGTTCTTTATTTTCTCTATCAGCTTAAATATTTCTTTAACATTGGATTATAACTTATCTACAAGTGTGTTTATTTCTGTATATTTTTAAATGAGTATTTAGATATTCCATTAGATAAATAAAGTTATGAAGTCCAGTAGTGTAAACATTTTACCAATTTGAGTGAAATGTAAAATAGCTCAAGTACCTTCTATCCTCCCCTGCTAAAATATAATTATCTTAAATTTTTCTGCTACATCTGCTTATTGGACAGTTTTATAATTCTGCTTCAATCTTCAAACATAATTTAGAAATTTCAAAAGAAAAAAGGACACCTATTAAATTTATCCATATTTTTGTTCTTTGATGTTTTGTGTTTCCTTTTTGTTATTTTCTTTTTATTTAGGCAATTTATTTAAGCCATGCTTTTAGCTTAGGCCTGCTGGTGACAAAATCTCTAACTTCCTTCATTTCCTTCATTTATCCTTCAGATCTGCAGGATATTTTCAATGGATGTAGAATTCTGAGTTGCCAGTTCTTTTCTTTCAACATGTGAAAAATGTGGTGCCTTCTGGACTTTGTAGTCTCTGGTCAGAAATTGATTTTCCTAGGGCAGGGGATATAGCTCAGGGTTAAAGAGCTTGAATACAGAAATCGATTTTCCTGCATAGACAATACATCATTTCTTTGGCTGCTTTAAAGATTTTTTTTCTGTGTTCAGTTTTCAAGGTTTGACTGTGTTTTGATTGTCTTTGACCGTTAGTTTGTTTTGATTTCTTTCAGCTTCATGAATTTGTACATTTAATAATTTTTGCAAATTTTGGAAAATTGTCTCATATTCCTTTAACTACTTTTCTGCCAATTTCCTTTGTCCTGTTCTTCTAGATCTTCAACCAGTACCTATGTTCCTAAGACCCTTTTCATTCTTTTCCTAGTTTGTGTATTCAGATTGGGTGATTTTATTATTGTATGTTTAAGTTCACCAGTCATAATTGTCCTTTCCATTTTGTAGTTGGCTGCAAAGGTTGTCTATGCTTATTTTATAACTGTCTATGCTTATTTTATATTTTATAACTGCCTATGTTTATTTATATTTATCCATAAAAATTTCTACTTGTTTTTTGTATCTTATGTTTATTTGAGACTTTCTATTTCTTTGCTCTTTGTGTCTTTTCATTTTTGAAAGCATGTTCCTATTTCTCATTAAAACCTTTTTAGGATGGTTGCCTTAAATTCCCTTAAATTCTAACACTGTATCATTTTAGTATTGGAGTTTGTTGAATTGTTTTTCCCCCTCAGTTTGAGCTCTGTCTATTTCTTCTAATTTCAGTTCAGTCATTTCTGTTAAAATATGGACATTTTGGGTATTACAAGACTTTGGGTCCTATTTATATCTTGTGTTTTAGCAAATTGCTCAGATGTTACTGATGGTTGAAGGGGGATGCTGCCTCATATATTTCCAGGGATAGTTAAGATTCTCCAGTCAGCCTCCAAGCACACTCCTAGGAGCAAAAAGCTCCTTTTCACTATGTGTAAATACTCAGTCAGGCTCCCATCTAAGCCTCTGTTGGTATCCTGTCTGGGAGAAGCAGAGCATCAGCTTACTGCTCCCCTGCATGGGCTTCATTGCAGAAGGTGGGGCAGAAGGATGATATTTTACTGCTGCGTGGCAATGCAATCCTGACTTTTCTCTAGGCCTCTATTTGATACTTTTCCCAGCACAGAATGGGAGGGAAACCTTGTTACCACTGGGTTGGGTTGGAGGGGGTGTTGACAGGAGAAGATGGAGAGAATGAATGTCCATGTTCCCAAGTTGTCTCCTATGAGGAAATCGTGCAGGAAGTTTACCACAACCTAGTGGGAATGTGAGTCCTGATTTCCCCACTTGCCTTTTATTGGGGCTGGATGAGGCTACATTTCTTTTCTGTGATATTTGGCTAATATGGAAAAATATTATCCAAAACGTTCTCTCTTGTTATAGATGAACAAAACTCTCATCTTCAAAATAAAACTTTGTGAAGGACAGGATGTATATTTGTTCCGGGAAATAATGACTTGAAATATTTAAAATATGAAATTTAGTTTTTCAAATTTATTTTTGCTGCATTCTTATAGGAAATTTGGAAAAGATTTAAAAACACACAAAACATGAGAAGTCCAGTCCTCCAACCCCAAATTTCTTGGTTAATTACAAATATTATATACTTTTTTTTTTTTCAATTAATTCTATGCACTGAGTTTCGCCTGAGGAAAGGAAGTTCGTTTATGGTGTTGATAAATGCCATTTGGCCTCTCTACATTTCTGGATGCTGTTCACGCTTGCTTCCCAATTCCCTCACTTCCTGCAGTGCTTGTCTCAGGCAGAACACTGCATTTTACATCAAAACAATATTTTATACTTCCTCTCTAGAACACTGATTTTTCATACGTGTAATCAGGCGAGGGACGCCTGCCTGAGATGCTAAGCGTCTTTCTCAGGGAATTGTCTCAACTCCAGCGGAGTATTTGGGTTCAGCTACAGGCAGATTAGAGATTTCTCCTCCAGCCTGCCGGGCACCTTCCATTCTCCCGAGAAGCCAGAAATAAAGGGTCAGCTTGGGGCGAGCGCGCTGCCTGGTGACCAGAGAGCGCCGGGTCTGGGCTGGGGATCCCCATCCTGCCAGAGCGACCCAGCAGGCTCCTCCCAGCTGGGTGGCAGCGGCTCGGGACCATCCAGGCAGGGCCCTGCGAGGCCTCCGGTGACATCATCCCGAAGCAGCTTCCCCTCGCACCGCGCCCGGTTTCCAGAGCTCTGGGCGGGTTATTCTGTCTCTGTCTGACCGCGGTTGCAGAGGCATCGCCACCGGCGGGTGGGACGCAGGGCCAGGAGGAGGGGGAATGCAGGCAGCGAGGGAAGGAGGAGCCTGCAGGCGACAGCTTGAGTCCAGCCCCGCGCACTATTTGCTGCCTCGGTGCCTGCGCTGACCTCAGCACCAGGTGAGTCCAGGAACAAGTGGGACCTTTGCCACGGGGCGCTGCTGCACAAGGCTGGCCCTCCTGCAAGTCACCTGAGAGGCCGAAAGGCACAAGTTCAGCCCCTTATGTATCCTTCCTCCATCAAGGGTCTCTCTGTGACTAGGATCCTGCCCTAAGGCAGCAAAGGCCTTTGGGAGGAAGTCCCAGGCCTGCTTCCTGTGCAGGGATAAAGGGCTTTACCTTATTTTTCTTGCCAAGAGGACATGTTGCTCGCCTGGCTTAGTAATCCTAAGCATGCAATGGGTGGGTGGCAGAGAGGCCAAGGGAGTGGATAAGTGAAGTAAAGGGAGGAGATTGTGCCCAGGTGATGTCCTTGGGCTGGAGCTGACTTATTAATCACTGGGCCTCCCAACCCAGGAGTCTGATTTTAAGGTGTAGGAAGCTACAGAAAGAAGATATGTTCTGGGATGTGAGATCTTGTTTAAAAAAAAGAAAAGAAAAGAAGAAAGAAAGAAAAGCCGGGACCCTGAAATGCCCTGTTTTAACTTATGGGATGGAAAAATGCATATATGTTCAAGTGTGCCCTCTGAGCTAAACAAATAGCAAAAACTACAATTCATAATTAGAACCACATTGGGAATACTAATGCTTGTCAATTTCTCCCGTGGGACTTTACATACATACATACATACATACATACATACATACACACACACACACACAAATTTATATATATGTGTGTGTATATATATAATATATATATAACAGTATATATAACGATTTTAAGCGTAAAGCTCAAAGAGTTTTGGGAAATATATGTAAATTAAGATACAGAATATTTACAGCACTTTGGAAATCCCCAAGAGTTTTTTTTAGCAATACCATCTCCAAAGTAAACACTTGTTATTTCTATCACTGTAGATTAATTTTGTTTGTTGCTTTAAATTTTTGTAAACTGAATAATATAATCTATACCCTTTTTTTGCCCAGCTTCTTTGATTTAGTAGAACATGTCAGATTCATCTGTTTTAGAATCAACAGTTTTCTCTTTTTTAGTGCTTAGTGATATTCCTTTGTATGAATAAACCACAATTTATTTTGTCCTTTTACTTGTTTATGGGCTTTTAAATAGCTACCATTAGTAGCTTTATAAAATAAAGTTGCTAAGACATTCTTGTAAATCTTTTAGTTCTCGATTTCCTTGAATAAATACGTAGTGTTGGAAATACTACACTATAAAGTAGGTATAGTTTAACAATTTGAAACATAGGCCATCTGTTTTTGATGTGTTTGCACATTTTTTTTTTTTACTCTAGCCAGTGGTTTAAAGCAACAATTTTTTCCTTTAATTTCTTTCTATATTTTCCAATTGCTTGTTATCAATACAGAGAACTATGATAAAACATTTAACATTTACTTTGTATCCTTCATCTTTGCTATATTGACCCATTATCACTACATATTTTGATGCTGAATACTTAAACATGTCCATGTCTGGAAATACAATGTTTTCTTTTTGCCATTATTATTCCTTTTGCTTCTGTTTTATTGTATTGACCAGAATCACGGCCAAGTATATTGCTGAATAAAAGTGAAGAATGTGGACAGCCTTGACGTTTTCTCAATCTCAGGGAGAAGTCATTTAATATTTCCACATTTAATATGCTGTTAGCTGTTGTTAATGTATTCTACTAGACTGAAAAAGTTTTTTTCTTTTTCTATCTTTGCTGAAAGATTTTAAAAATCATGTAGGATTTTTCACATAACGATGCTCATAATAGCTCTTTTTAAAATTGTATTATTTATAGGAACAATAAACACATTGTCTTTGTCTTAATTTTGGTAATATTTTTTTCTTGATCAATCTTACTGAGGATATTTCATATTTATTTTTTTCTAAAGCTACTATTACTTATATTCATTCCCTTCCACTGTTTTTAGTTCATTTATTTACTCTTTTATCTTTAATATTTTCTACTTTCTCTGGGTTTATTTCACTCTTCATTATTTAGACTTAGATTTAGGCTTCATTTTAAAATGTTTCATTTTCAGAGTGTGAAATCTAAGTTTTCCTCTCAATTTTGCTTTTACTTTTCCCCATAAATCTTATTATTTTTTCTTTTTCTAATTTTAATTTGGGTTGAAATGCTGCTTTTTTAATGCTTTGTCCTATATGGTTATTTCACTTAATTTCCAATCATTTCAGATTTTTTTGACTAATATTCTTGCTATCGTTTTCTAGTTTAATACATTTTTTCTAGGTAAAGTACTGTCCATGATTTTAATCATGTAAAATATATTCATATACATCTTATTATCGAACATGGACTCTATCTTGGTGAATAGTTCATGTGTACCTGATAATTGAGTGTGTATGTGTGTGTTCCATGTATTAAGTATTTCATAAATGAAAATTAGGTCAATATTTAAGATAGTAGTATCCAAAGCTTCCACATTTTTATAAAAATCCCTCAACTATGAATTGAAGAGAGTACTGTAAATTTTTGTTTTGTTTTTGAAGCACGTTTTTGAGGGATAAAGATTCTCAATACTTACTTGATGAATAGATCCTTTTGTCATGAAATATCCCTTATTATTTCTTGTAATACTTATTTTAGAAGTCTAATTCATGTGACTTTAATACAGCTTCTCCAGCTTACTTTTTTTCCCCCCCAAATGATTAATAGGTTCTTTTCCATTTCTCTTATCAATAATATTAAAACAAATACTGTTTTCACTCTGGAATACTTACTTTATGTATTTATTCCAATGATTTCTAGGCATTAAGTACAAAAATTAAGTAATGCATGTTTAATTTAGCTCCAATTCACTAGAGCTGGTGGGTTGGGCCTCTAGGATGGAGAGGTTATTTTTTTAAAAAATTGAAATAAGTTTTATTTTTATCATTTATGACATTATATAGGTTTCAAACAGTATTGTAAATCAACATTTGTATATACCACAATTGTGTTCACCACCAAAAGTCTGTTTTAAGCTTCACCATACAATGGAACACTTTTTCCTTGATTTATGCTTCTTTCCATTCCTCCTTCCTTCTTGTAACTACTATTTTGTACCCATATTACAAGATTCTGTTTTTATTTTGCTTTGTTTGAGGCACTCAATATGTATCTCAGGAATCTTAAAAGGACAGAGGCTACCATGATCCCTTAAACTGTTTTCAATTTCAAGACTTCGTAAGTGTATTTTTTTTTCTAGATAAGTGCTCTGGGCTTTCTCCAGGGAATTTCTGATTTTTCTCGCTACCAGAAGACGTAATTGAAGCAACAATCGTATACCTACAAATATGACTCATGTGGATGGTTTATTTCAATGAAGAATGTAGCTCTAGTCATTTTACATCTAGGGTAATTCAGCAAATAATTTGGGCTAATCACTATGTTTTATCAAAATTTTTGTTCACATAGTTTATGCCTAGCCATTTTTATATCTTTGATTAGCCTGTTTTAGCTGTTGTGAATAATTTACAGCACATTTGAGAAAAAGAGATGTTTTAGTGAGACCATAATTATCTCATGTCAACAAATAAATATTAAAAAAAAAAAACAAAAAAAAACAGGTTGGCTTTACCAAACAGAGATGATTCCTTGCTCACCCCCAAAAAGAACAAATAATAATTTGCCAGAAAGAGATGACACTAAAAGTGATCCACAGCTCAAGGTGAGATTGAAACAACCCTTGTACCTCAGATATCAATACGAACTGCTCCAGACTGGACTTGGATGAAATTCACACTTCATTAGACCAAAGGTGGTTGGAGAGAAACACTTCTAGGCTATAGTCCAGGGTACGGGACAAAAACAGCAAAGCTGTCCACCCAGTCAGGTCCCTGACTGGTACATTAGGGGAGGCAGAGTGGAAATGGTTTATAGGCACAGAACTTTGATTTAAGTGAAGCCAATATGGTAGAAGTGTGGTGCTCTACAAGACCAAATGCCCAACAAGGAGAACAAAAAAGGTGCCATAGACAAGAATCAGGTTCCCCAGCCCCGGCACATTCATACAGAGAATAGACCTCTCTCTTTCCCACCACCACTCTACTGACAAAGCAACTGCACATACAGTCCTAAGTACCTATGAAAGTTAGCAGAGACCAAAAATAAATAAGTGAATAAATAATCCAAATCAAGACAAAATGTCATCTGCTGGAAAAGTAGAAGCAATTTATCTCTAAGTTACTGGTGCAGATTTTTTTAATAACTGAATTTTAATTAGTAAAAAATGCAGACAAGGGCCTCCCTGGTAGCGCAGGGATTAAAGACAGTGCTAGCAAGCTATCACCAGCTACTGTAGTGCGAGTTTGATTCCTGGCCAGGGAGGTGACCCACATGGCTCAGCAGTACTCTCCTGTCTTTCCCGCTGCTCCCCTCAGCAGTGTATTTAGGTAAATCCATCTATTCTGCTCCCCACTCTGTCTCTGGTGAATCCTCTTTGGCCTACACCCCAATTTTTATATGCATAAACAAATAAATATTTTTAAAAATGCAGACCAAATATAGCATGTAGCAACTCTAGACTATAAGAGAAAATGACATTATAAAGCAAGTCAAAGTGCCACAAAGAGAACAACTCTCCAGAATCGAATCTCAAAGACATGGAAGTTTTCCCACAAATCTGAAGTTTACTCTCCTTGGTTCTTTCCATTCAATGGTACCTCTATCCCAAGACCTCAATTTTCAGCCACTTTGGGTGTCTCAATCTCCATGTCTCACTCCTCAGTCCATGTTTCTATTTGAGTTGAATGGATATGGTGATTTTTGTTATTTGTCAGTGTTTCCTTTTAAATATTTGGTCCAGATTGTATAAATGCTGTAATTTGTAAGTTTCATCCTAAATAAGTTATTCTACAAAGAATGAAAGCTGAACTTCAAATGAAATTATTTATATTCTCAATGCAGATAAACTGTATTTATTGAGAATGTAAAATGTGGTGACTGAATAGCTTTGAACTGTTTCATTTCCTAAGATTGAGTCTCTTTGCTTCTGAATGTTATCCTTAC